CTGAGTGTCATTGGAAAAGCATCACTTTGCCTCCCAATTCACACCGTCACAGAGCTTCCTACCCTCGCGAGCAGACGAGTGGCGACAGGAACACAGTCGGAGCTGGAACCCGCATCCCCCAACAGACCAGCTCTGGGGGCTCCGGCACTGATTTTACTCAGATGCCTCCAAAGGCTCGTTATAAATGTCTTCTTGTGTCTAGAGACATTTTTACCGATTGAGTAGAGGCTTTCTGTTCGAGGATAGAAAAGGCTACAGAGGTGTACATATATCTTTTAAAAGAAATCTTCCCAAGATTTGGGACTGCCCACGTCCCAAGAGTGACAGTGGGGCCTCTTTCACTGCCAGGGTAACAGAAGTGAGACTTCACAGGCCTTCCAGGGATGTGGCAATAAAATCTTGCCAGATCCCACCCGGATCCCTCTGTCCTCCCAAAGGTCGGGCCCAAGGAACAAGCGGTGCTTACAACATGGAAAGAGGGGTCACAAGAGACCAACTCCAACCCAAATGGAAAGGAAAGGACCCTACTGGGGAATCCTGGTCATTCCCATCGCCTCAGGGCTGGAAGGACTACCCCACTGGGTCGGTCTCACTAGGATTAAGTTTGTCCCCCTGAATTTCTATAGGACCTGCTGGCAAACTACACCTACACCTGTGAACCAGCTGAAGCTTTGAAATACCTGTTCAAAAGACAGGTGGAGAATGTGGTGATCGTGGTCCCCATCACCTCCCTGTCTTGCATCTGTGTCTCCCACACACTTGCTCCTTCGAGCTGCCCCACTCCCTGGAAGACACCTGGTTTGCCCCTGCTGTGTAAAGGGTCCCGTTTAGTCTAAACATTTCCTGGGGTGGCTCTGGATCTGTTCTCTTGTCCTTTCACACCTCTTTCGTCTTTGGTAGGTTAAAATTTAAAGATAAATAAATAATCTATTTAAAATAAATAAATAAATAACCATGTTCCTTCTAGTCCTGGTGCATATATGTCTTCTCTGATATCTCTTAATATGGTGTAAGCAAAATGTGGGAAATGGGGAGGAAAATCTTTTGTTCCAAATTACAAAAACCACTGTCTCAGACTGCTGGGCATGTCATAAACAAGTCCATGGAGAGGCACGTAAAGATGTTTGTGGGGCTGCCCTACAGAGTGGTCTGCAGTCCAAACCCACTCATTTACAGAGCCAATAAATCTCACACAAACCCAGTTCACATCCACCCAACAAAATGTTTTAATCCATCAGCCATCACCTGGTATACCAAGGTAGATCCCAGATTGCCCCCACATGACACCTCTTGTGATCCTTGCCGGGGCCTGCACCTGTCATCTAACTGCCAAAAGAGCCTGCATACTTAATGCCATCAAAATGTGTAGTTAAGCCCCCTTCATACCACCCACAACATGACATAAGATCCAGGAGATATGGCCGTGGTGGCACAGTCACCCAGACCATCACACAGGGCCATAGGAAGATCCCATTCCTGATGATGGAGACCCGGATGATGACAAGCACTCCCTGTAGATGCCCCACAACCACTTACCTCCCCCAGCTCCCACCTCTCCCTCCCCAAGGCCTGTGTCTAGCTAACGAACAGTCTTCTTAGGACTGGCAGATGGGAAGGGGACACAAGTTCAATGTCTTGATACCAATAAGACTAGAGGCAAGTAGGCTGTGGGACATGTTGCACCTCCCCTTGAAAGTATTCAAAAATTCTCCAATAACCCTTATAACACTCAGCTATCACCACAAAGGTCCAGGTGAGCTGTAGGACTGCTGAAAGCCAAAATCGTCACCTTGGTCGGATCCTTGATGGGACCAGCCAGGGAAATAACAACAATGCTATCACACAAAATGTCACAGCTACTGTGTCCACAGTGATGGCTGAAACTGGACAGGAGTTTAAACTTATCTAAAATCACCAGATTCGGGGCACCTGGGTGGCTCAGTCGGTAGGTGCCTGCCTTCGGCTCAGGTCATGATCCCGGGTCCTGGGATTGAGCCTTGCATGGGGCTCCCTGCTCAGGGGGTGGACTCTGCTTCTCCCTCTCCCTCTGTGCTCTCTCTCAAATAAATAAATAAAATATTTTTAAAAAATAAACAAAATAAAATAAAATCATTAGACTCTGGTTTCCATGGTTTTAGATCACCAATTAGCCTTACACTATTTACTGGCTGAGCAAGGACAAGTAGGTACCATTGGAAATCCATCTTGTTTCTATGTTCATGTTTCTGGAGAGGTGGAACAATGGGCTAACATCATCCTCCAACAGGCCTCCTGGCTATATAATTTCAAGAACCCCACACCCAAACCATCTGGGACTTCATTAAGGAGTACCTGCCAGTGTCACCTGGTTCTTGCCTTGCGTTGTGCCCCAAGTGGCTGTTTTACTGCTGTTTCTATTTGGGCCATGCTTCTTTAATTTACTTGTCGGATTCGTGTCCTCTGGACTACAACAGCCCCACATTCAGCTGATGTTCACACGGGGATTCAACCCATATCCACTGGGAACCGAGTTCCCACATCAGAATTAGATCTGATAGCAAGACATTGCCATGACCTCCAATGATAGGCAGTGTCTACACCCTTGATGAGCAGATGGCCCAAGTACCATCTATCTATCGTCGCTGGCCCAAGTACCCCTTGATGATGTAGCTATAGGAGAGGAGACCTCCATCCATGTTCCCCCTGAGAAATCAGGAGGATGAAATCTCTCAGGGGGGACAAGAGATGATGCCCCAGATGAACATCACATGCACCACTGGGAGCACTTCCTGAACTGCTTTTCTTACAGAGCAGAACCAGGGTCTGACCCCACACGAGCCAGACTTAAGACAACAGCCGTGGCCATTTCCTGTTGAGGTGGGAACACACAGAGGCTCCACAAACCTGAAAAACCTCAGTTCCAAAAACACGAGCTACTGGGTGGCCTGCCGATATCAGCCAATCAGGACGAGGCACTTTTATGTCCCTTAGGAGCATAAGGGCCAGGAGCGGGAACAGTGGTGGAAATGTTCCCAAAGACCCCCTCTGCCCAGGGGAGCAAGGCTAATGGCTCTCTGTGGGTGCTGGGTCTCTTTCAGCTCAAGCTGTCACCCCAATAAAGCCCTGCTGGTGCCATTGACTTTTGGGTCCCACCTCATTTCTATCGTCGTTGGCCCAAGTACCGACTGGGGTCACAGAGCCATGCCTATGCTCATGGTCCCCTATGACTGAACTACAGGCTGAAGAGAATGCCAGATCCTGAGTCCACCACACCGAGCCCACCAAGCCCAGTGCACACAGGACACACACACCAGACAGGATGGACACTCAGTGGACCCAGCCCCACTGCCAGTCCCACGAGCTCCCTCATCCTCAACACCCACCCACCATTGTCTTCCAAATCAGGGGCAGCCTTTCCACAGGACCAAGGGTCCCACAAAATCTAGATTTCAGAAAGTGAGCACAGTCCCTGATTCTGCCCCCTGGGAAGGAGGGTTTTCTGAACATGGCTCAGCATGCTCAGAGCAGCCAGGATAAGGTAACACATCTGCAGAGAAGCAGCAGATGATGAGGGATGTTGTTTAAGCTAATGTTGCCATGGCCATTTTGTGGCAAATACGTCCTCCTGGGCTCAGGTAGGAGCTTAGTCCAACACTGGCGGGTTACCCAGCCATGCGAGGCCTTCACTCTGAGCGCTGGTAAAGTCAAGTCAGGTAAAGTAAAAGGTAAGAACCAACCATTCCCACAACCAGGAGCAGGGCAACTTTGCATGAAATCCCACAGCGGCCGAATGGGTAAAGGCTCCTGCCAAGCAGGACCTCGCTTCCACAGCCTACAGAACAGGCTTCTACAAGCCTCCAGGCAGAAGGAAATAGAAAGTGAGTCTCCACTCCACAAACTCACTTGTTCCTTGGCCGCCTGAGAAATTCAAAGATGAGTTTGGGTCAGGCATGGGCAGCATGCACAGGAAGACAGCCCCCCTTGGCCAGAGCTCATTTCAGTGCTCGGTGTCCGAGGGGTTCCTTGAAGGCATCTTCTCTTAAACCCACCTGAGTTCCCAGAAAAGCTCCCAGAATCTTTCACAGGCCGAGCCTTGTGCCCAGCTGCCCTCCAGTGTGACCCTGGACCCCTGAATTGCAGAGCAGGGGTATTTGAGTAAACAGATGGTTCAGAAGAGATGGCATGCCCTCAGGGAGGTCAGCAGTGTGGCCAAGAAGTCTGCTCAATAGGTCAGGCTTTGTAGCCATTTCTAAGCTGAATCTATAAAAACAAGAGTTTCTGTCTAGAGATGGCCATTTCTTAGGGGCTATGGCCAGGGCTGGCCAGGGCTGTGCTTGCTCTGCCATGAGCTGAGTGCCGAGCTCCTCATAGGGACTCAGTATCCCTGCTAGATCCATGCAGTGAGTGAAGGAGCTGGGGGCATGTTGCTTCACCCCAGTGACACCACTAAAAGTACAAGGACTGGGAGCTCAGGTGGAAGGGACTCTTGGAAAGGGATTGAAGGATGCCACCGTCAGGCTTCCCTCTGAACCCTCCTGGACTCTACTCCCCGCCAAGGGAGGTGCGATGGAGGGGCAGGCCGAGTCAGGGGCTGCGCCTGGGTTCTGACAGCGCTGGATTTTCATCCCTGCCTCATCATTTGTTGGCTGGGGGGCCTGGGGACAAGGCCCTGCCTTTCTGTAAGCTGCTGAGGCCTGGTGTGTAAGATGGGGATGGCGTCACCCACCACTGCCTGTGGACACTGATCCTGGAAATGGGAAAATGAAGGCGTGCATCAAACGCTTAGCACAGTAGTGTAGGTACTCAAGAGATGGCATCTGTTATTGCTTGGGCACCACGTGGTTTCATTCAGGCCTACATGGTTGGTCAGACGTGCAGCGCTACAGGGTATCACCCTCACTGACTCCCCCTCCTCCCGCCTCGCTCTCTCCCTGCACCCCCCACGATCCTCAGCTGAAGATCTTCCAAAACTATCACTGTGGGTTGTCTCCAGAGTGTCCACATGTGGCACTGGGCTCTCCTCAGACAGCTGGACACTCCTCTCCCAGAGAATTCTCCAGAGCCTGCCAGTAGCTCAGCATGTTGCGAGGCTTGACGAAATGGCAGGCCACAATCTTCTTAAAACGACACGTGGAGAAGGGTAACCCGTTTGGGAAAAACGTCTGCTCGGAGTGAAGTTCCTCCAGCCTGATTTTCAGCTTGGCCAGGCAGAGTCCCACAAAGACGTCTTCGAGCTTGATGAACGGGACGCTGTCAGAGACATTGTACACCTGACTTGCAACATCACTGGAAAACACGTAGCCGGTGCCCGAGCAAAAGGGCGGGTACTTATCCCATGGGTATTCGTATTTACTGACAAACCACTTGTTGGCCTTGTCCCTAATGGGAAACTCGTTCAGTTTTAAGAAGCCGGTGAAAAACCGAGTGGTTCTGTTTTTCTTGAGAAGCAGCTCGGTCAGGTAGTAGACGTTGACAAACATGTCCGAGTCCGTTTTCATCACAAACGTCGCCTGAGGACAGAAGCGGTGGATCCACTCTATGCCCATCATGGTCTTCAGGGTCAAATTGAAGTAAGCGTCCACAAAGTCCTTCTGGATAATGTCGCGATGCCGCTGGCTTTCCTGCGCCACCACTTTCGACAGGTCCTTACTGGCTGTGGCTCCCAGAAGGAAGAAGGTTTTTATTGGCCTCCCATGCACATTCTTTTCTTTTCCCCATGTGTTTCGGATGACCGTGCGAACGAACACCTGTTCGTGGGATGAGGTCACCAGCAGGACAAGGAAGGGGGGATCCTGCCTGCAGTTGATATCTGGAAGCTGGAGGAAGCTGCCTCTTTCTTTCTTGAAAACAAATGGCTGGCCTTTAAAGGGAATCAGAGCGTACATGCTAAAATACAAACAGAGGGCTCCCAGGACCACCAGCGAGATGTACATCAATCGCATCTTCAGGTAAGCCATCTGAAAGGAACAAAGTGGAGTGGTCAGACCTCAAAAGAGGGAGAGCATGTTTAGCTTTGCCCTGGGAGGCCTAGACGGGGGGACACACCTGCGTCTCATGGCCCACATTCTAGAGACTCTGCAGTCTCACTGCATACAGGGGTGGAGGGCTGTGATTCAACAGTGAGCATGATGCCCGACAGCGTCATTCACTCCACAGTATGAGATCAGAGCACAGGGCTCCAGGCCAGCCTGCCCTTCACCCTTGGGAGTCTCAGATTACTCCTCTGAAATATGGGGCCAGATCTCCCACTAGGTCCCTCCAGCTCTGCCCAAACCTGACTCCATAAGCTAGAGATATTGCAAGACTGGAAGCCCTGTGTTCATCTGCATTCTTCTCTGATCAAACCAAGCACCATTTTATCACACCCAGGAAGAAGCAAGACCAATGTTCTGATCTGTACACTCATCCCCCTTATTTGTGGGAATCACTTACAAGATCCCCAGCAGATGCCTGAAGTCAAGCATATACCTTATATATACTGTTTTCTCCCATACATACATTCCTATGAGAACTTTTAGTTTTTAAGTTGGGCCCAGTAAGAGATTCACGACAATAACTAATAATAAAATAGAACAATTAAATTATAACAATAAACTGTAATAAAAGTCACACGAATGTGGTCTCTCTCTCTCTCTCTCTCTCTCTCTCTCTCTCTCTCTCTCAAAATTCCTTATTGTACTATACTCACCCTTGTTGTGAGGACGTCAGATGATAAAATGCCCATGTGATGAGATGAAGTGAGGTGGGTGACGCAGGCGTGAGACGTCGCGTTAGGCTACTCCTGACCTGACAATAGGTCAGAATGGGGACCATCTGCTTCTGGACTGCGGTTAACCACAGGTGACTGAAACCTTAGAACACAAAGCTTCAGATAAGGTGGGAATTCCATACCGTGGAACACTGTCCCTGCTAGCGGTGCTTATTTTATTTGAGGGGTTGCTTCTTTAAATCTCCTGGTTCTTCCATTATGCGCCCACACATCTCTGTCATTCTCAGCAAATCCAGGACCATGTTAATGTTATAAAATTAAGAAAGCAAATAACTCACTTTCTCCTGGCTCTAGTTTGGAAGCTAAACCACAAGGTAGATTCCAAGAGGAAACTTGCCAAAGAGCTGTCAGCAAACGCCGCTGGACACTGTCCAGTTCTGGATTCACTTCATTTACCCAAAATGATGATTCCCTTTCTCAAGAGTCACTATAAGGAAAAAAACAAAAAGAACAGAGCCATTCAAATCAGCCATGCCTCACCAGCAGCACCTCACCGTTGGCTTTGCCAGCATGTTGCAGACCTATGTCACCACCTACCCAGGTGACCTTGAGGAGCATTTGGGTCCCACTCTAGTCCCACTTTTCTCTTCTGCAAAATGGGTGCAATCAAGACAATTCCACCACATGGTGCACCTGTTAACAACAATAACAGCTTGCAAATATTCGAGAAGTCTGTCAGGCCTGATGTGCTAGGACAGCACCCAGAGCTCTGGAAGGGGAACCGGCGGAATCATAGGTCAGCCTCAATCAAATGTCTTGTGCCAATAATTGACCTTCCTACATAACAGTCTGTGGCTAACGCTTACAGAATTTAACACAGGGAAGAGATGCACCAGTTCTCAACTTAGCATCCCGGTCTTCAAAATGTCATCCTGGGAGGATCTCAGAGGGGCCATCAGGAGAAAAAAAACAACTAAGTGGAAGAAAGAAAGCTGATGGCAAAATAGGAACTTGAAATTTCATTCAGTTAGAATTCTGTTCCAAATACATTCACCACAAAAGTTGTGGAACAGTGATGGAAACTTCCAGGACCAGCTAACTCTCTGGAGGCCAACTTAGTCTGGCTCTGTTCTTCATGGCCCCAAGAAGGTCTTGTCCAGCTGGAGCCCACCTATTTCAGAGAAGTCGCTGTGGGAGGCAAATGGATGGCAAGAATGCGTCTGAGCCACGGCTTGCAGGTTGCTGAGAATTCTATTTCCTTCTTTCTTATTTGTGGGAATAGTTATTTGCAGGGCTAGGATGTGTGGTTTATTCTGGCTGAGGAAGGGGTAAGGAGAATCAAATTGCATTTACCACCACAACAGATTTTTTAATGAAACATAAAAATCAAGTCAAGAGAAATATAATGATATTTCTCTATTTTGCTTCCTTTCTCAGATAAGTTTGCTCTTCTTCAGTAGATCACCTCACCAGTAAACCTTAAAATCTCATTCCCGTAGGGCACCTTTTCTCAGGATCCTTCACATGGATCTCAATCCCCAGGGATGGATGCTCAGCTCACTGACTGTATTGGTCTCTCACTAGACACCAAACAGCACCTATGAGACAGAGCAAGTGGCATGGCCCAACTGGCCAAAGCTCCCTGGGGTCATTTATTTTCATGTGCAGTTGGAACACACTTCCTACCTGAGTGATGTGACCAAGAAGTTATACCTCATATCCCCATTTACACCCCTGATTGAGGCTCTATGTTGTGCTACAAGGCCCCCCTGAAGGGGCTTTGGGAAGGGCACCTAGCATCAATAAGGAACGGAGTGTAGAACAGTACATTTCTAGAAAAGGAAATATTGGGGATCCGTGGGTGGCTCAGCAGTTTAGTGCCTGCCTTTGGCCCAGGGTGTGACCCTGGAGTCCCAGGATCAAGCCCCACATCAGGCTCCCCGCATGGGGTCTGCTTCTCCCTCTGCCTGTGTCTCTGCCTCTCTCTCTCTCTCTCTCTCTCTCTCCTTCTCTCTCTCTTTCTCTGTCTCTCATGAATATATAAATAAAATCTTTAAAAAAAAAAAAGAAAGAAAAAAAAGGAAGTGTTTATCCCCCAGGTTCTGTCCCTCAAAGTTTGGCTAAGAGGCAGGAACCCTTAGCATAAAGCAGCTCTATGGACATAGCCATGAATAGGCAACTATCTCTGCTATGGAAGCCCCACCTTCACAACACACCTGGCCAGCCTGTAGCCTACCCACTCAATAAGGAATGGAACAACAGTTTATTTAGCAGATTCTGGATACCAGGCTTTGCTCTTCCAATCTACAGGCAATAGACACAGACACAGAGCCTCAGAACTGGAGTAGATAAGTACTGTGCATGAATTATAGATCAAGGCAAGCCAGAAGGTGGCAGGCCCCTTCTTATCTCTCCTCTGCTTCCCCGCCCTACCCAGGATCCTGTGCAGGTGTTACTTCAGTTCTAGGCTGGGGTCACTGTGTGCCCCTTCTGGGCCAGAGTGCCCAGAGGGCCAGAAGCATGCCATCCTAATACTCGAGGCTGTGCACAGATTAGACACTGGGCACTTCAGAATTACAGTGGAATAGCACAAAGCTAGGGGCTGTCTGTGGGGAGCCTGGAAGTCAGTGTCTTAACTCCATCAAACAGAGGGTCCCTTCCCAGGCCAGGTGGGTAGGACTCCTGACCTAAGGCTACAGGGCCTAAAGTCAAAGGGATTAGAAGTCCACATCCCCAAGGGCTAGAAAGCCAAAGTCAGTCTGCAAAGTTAAGTTTAATGAGGCTGGGGGGAAAGGGGTGGGGCGGTGGCAGGGACAGGAGAGAACATCCTGGATCTGAAAAAAGGATGATGAATGTAACCTCATAAAATACCATCAGGAGACTTCAAAAGCAAGCCACAGAAAGGGAGAACATATGTGCCATACATATATCTGAAAAAGGACTATCAGTCAGAATACATTGAGAACTTCTATAGATCAACAAGGAAAGCACAAAAACAAAACAAAAAAAAAAAACCCACAATCTTAAAAACTGAGTTGTAATTCTCCAAAGAAGACATACAAATGGCCAATAGACACATAAAAAATGCTCAACATCACTTGGCATCAGGGACATACAAATCAAAACCACAATGAGATACCACTTCAGAAAGTCAGAACAGCTAAAATTAACATGTTAGGAAATGACAGATGTTGGCAAGGATGCAAAGAAAGAGGAAGCCTCTTACACTGTTGGTGGGAATGCAAGCTGGTGCAGCCACTCTGGAAAACAGCATAGAAGTTCCTCAAACCTAAAAATAGAGCTACCTTATGACCCAGCAATTGCACTACTAGGTATTTACCCAAAATATATAAACTTAGTGATCCAAAGGGAGACCTGCAACCCAATCTTTATAGCACCAATTTCCACAGTAACCAAAGTATGGAAAGAGTCCAGATGCCCATCAACAGATGAATGGATAAAGAAGATGTGGTATTACACACACACACACACACACACACACACACACACACAAAATGGACTACTACTCAGCCATCAAAAAATGAAATCTTTGCCATTTGCAATGATGTGGATAGAACCAGAGGATATTATGCTAAGTGAAATAAGTCAACCAGAGAAAGATAATTATCGTATGATCTCATTCACATGTGGAATTTAAGAAACAAAACAGAATCATGGGGAAAAAGAGAGAAAAATGAGACAAGATGAAACCAAAGAGGGAGACAAATCATAAGAGGCTCTTTATCATAGGAAACAAACTGAGATTTGCTGGAGGGGAGGTAGTGGGTATTGGAGTAACTGAGTGATGGGCATGAAGGAGGGCACCGGATGGGATGAGCACTGGGTATTATATAAGACTAATGAATCACTGAACTCTACCTCTGAAACCATTAATACATTGTATGTTATTTAGTTGAATTTAAATAAAATTTAAGAAAATAATCATTCCTCTAACAAGGGATCTGAGTGATGACCAATTATCAATAAACAAAGAGATCTCTAAGAACAGAGGAACAGCAGATATAAGGAGCAGCACTGCCTCTGGTGCTTAAGATGAAAACTCAAGGAAAGTCCCAAAATCCAGGCCAGAAATGCAGACCTCTGTGACGAGGACACAGTCTGGTCCAGTGACAGGAGAGAAGTCACTATGGGCCCAGAGCCATTTTCAAGATTAGTCAAAAAAAAAAGAGTGACTTCGGAGCCAAGAGGCAATACATTAATAAATGACATGAATGTAAACAAGAAATTTCCATCAATAGTAGAATGGGTCAATGAAATGTTACATAGCCATTAAAAAATACAAACTTTTGATATACCCACTATGTATTAATTTGACAGATGTTATGTTGAATGAAAGGGGCCAGACATGAAAGAGTATGTTCTTCATGATTCCATTGATAAGAAGTTCAAAACTGGCAAAATGTATCAATGGTAATAGAAGTCAGAATAGAAATTAGCTTTGGTGGAGGGATTATTAACCAGGAAAGGGCACAACTACCCTTCTGGAGAGTTGGCCATATTTTATTTTTGATCTGGATGGTGGTTACATATGTAAAAATTCATTGAGCCATACTACCAGGATTTGTGTACTTTGCTGTATGTTATTCACATTAATAGTTTCTTTTTTAAAGATTTTATTTATTTATTCATGAGACACAGAAAGAGAGAGAGAGAGACGCAGAGACACAGGCAGAGGGAGAAGCAGGCTCCATGCCAGGAGCCCGACGTGGGACTCGATCCCGGGACTCCAGGACCACACCCTTGGCCGAAGGCAGGCACTAAACCCCTGAGCCACCCAGGGATCGCCCACATTAATAGTTTTGAATAATTTCCAATAAAAATAAATCTCTGAAAATGTGATATCTTCTGTAAAATAGGCTGAATTTATTTACCACAAAGTCTGATTTTTTTCACAGTGCATTTCATGGGCCAGTGTATCACATCACAAAAACATTTTGTGTCTGGGTCTTAATTTAGAATGATGACTGAATAACAACCCAAACAAGTCAATGTTATTGAAAAAAAAACATCAATGTTGGGGCACCTGGGTGC